ACCACAACTGTTTAGCACACATTTGGTCAAAGGAACGACTTCACTGGTCTATTTACGAGTTGTAGTGTGGTGCTACTACTGGAAAGCCTCAGTGACGATGCCGGCGAAACCTTTGGAAATGTATCAAGTCACGGTGCGACTCTGGAAATGATCATGCATATAATGGACTCCGGACAAGGTGTGTTCTTCTAGGTAGTCCTGCCAATATGACCAAATAACGAAAACAAGGTCAGACAACTTTTAAGACTATATGACGTTGAATGGAAACGTAAGGCCTACTTAATTCATTGTGATAAATTGTAATTACTTGTTCTTTATCACATTAAACACGATAGGGTGAATACCTTAGGAACATTGGGTATGAATTTGTATGTTTCAATGGCATCTAACATCATATAGCTATACAGACTCCTCATCTTTGCTTGGCATTAACGCAACAAAAGTTAATAAAACGGTTTGTAAGTAATTAATTAAAAAACTTATATATAATTTTGCTTTTATTCAAGATCTATGGGTAGTTGTGAAGCCTAAATAATACAAATTAAAAAAATAAAAAATATATATGTAATTTGTGTGTGTGTGTGTGTGTGTGTGAAAGAGAGATAGGCATAGAAACGGAATCGGCGAAATGTGAGTGAACTGACCAAATGTTACTTCCCCATTTCAGGTACAGGACCGAAAAAGTCAAAGCGCGCCAGCTCCGGTCAGGCTGGGCCAAGCCGACCGGTTCATACGAGTCCGGGCGTCATTCGATCCGTCGGTCCCCTTGACACTTCGGGCAGCTTCGAGCCCGGCCCGCCACGGCGTCGAACGCCGCTTCAGTCGGTCCCGTTCGAGTTGCCGCATAGAGCAGCGACCAGCCTCACTCCCGAAGGTCAGATGAGCCTCGTCATGACGACCGACAGCCCCAGACGTCCGAGAGGCGTGTCTGCGGGGGCACTGCATCCCGGCGGCGTGGACGAGACGGCCTACTCTGAGCGCGAGATCATCGAAATGGTGCCAAGTGGCAGCGCCGGTGCTGGACGTCGTAGTCGTGGCGATAGTCAGGGCTATGCAGCTGCTCCCGAGGTGGGTCTGAAGGCTGTGGTTTGTGTTCCGTCGCCTTGACGAGACGCCAGTCGAACTAAGACAGGGAATTTGATTGAGCTA